CCAGTTCTAGGGGATCCGATACCCTCTTCTGACCTCCATTAGGTACTGCATGACACAGATGGACTTATATGCAGGCAAAACATTCATACACAAGAAGAAGAGGAGGAGGAGGAAGAGAAGGAGGAAGAAGAGGAGGAAAAGGAGGACCTGGATTTGACTCCCAGCACCCACATGGTGGCTACGAACTGTCCTTAACTCAGTTCCAGGAGAATATGAAGCCCTTTTCTGACCTCTGCAGCATTTTATGACATGGGTGCACTCACATGCATGTAGGCAATACACTCATACACATAAAGTGGAAATAATAAATAAAATATTTAAACAAAAAGAGATAGTAGTAGTAGTAGTAGTAGTAGTAGTAGTAGTAGTAGTAGAAGAAGTAGAAGTAACAGTAGTAGTGGTGGTGGTGGTGGTGGTGCCTATGGCTAGCCCTGAGGGGTTCTCCCAATCCCCCTCTAAGCCAGAGGACTTACCTGTTCCTACCCTGACCATCAGCAGAGGGTTCCAGCCTTGGAATTTCGTGTGCTCCTATAAGTACATCTTTACTGAAACTACATAACTAAATGTGTCATTTTGTGTATGTCTTTCCTACATTTAGCTTATTTGTTATTTAAGGAGTACAGAGTTTAAGACCATGAGGAAATTTTATAAACAGTGCTAATGGTTATCAACACTAGAAACAGACCTAATGCCACTGAACTATACACTTAAATGGTAAACTTTATGCTATGCCTATTTTGCCACAACAAAAACAAATCACAAAAACAAATACATAAAATAAATAAGCATGCTAAGTAAAAAAAAAAAAAAGACACAGAAGTCTATCTTACAATTGCATTTAGATAAAATTCTAGAAAAGCAAAACATATGGTGACAGAAAACAGGCACAGGCTGCTGGGATGGAGGTGGGAAATGACCTATGAAGGGACACAAGGGAAATTGAGAGCGATGGATGTGTTCTTTATTGTGGTTACACAATCCCTATACACTTCAAACACATCATTACATACACAAGTTTCATAAATTAAGTGAAAGACGTGAAAGACAAAGACCTGAGATAGTCTAGCCCTACTTAATCATTTCTGAAACCAAAAAATCTGTATGAAGTACCAAAGATCACAATTAGCAAAGCAGGGCTAAAATCTAGCTCTGTAATAAAACCCAAAGTTCTTTGCATCATACAAAATGCTACTGCTTGACAGTAGTGGAAGGTGGTACTGGAAAGTTATACTGGAAATTCATTATCTCCAGCCAGAATACAGATTTTAAACCCTAATTGTGAGAGTTTAAAAATCCATGAAGCTATAACCAAAATATTTAGCAATACATATTTACTTCACAGCACTAGTATATTTTCTACTTTGTAAAGTACTCCATTTGTCAAATTCCAATGCATAGGATCCTGTATTCTCAGATTGTAAAGATATTCTGCCTTCTGAAGGTACATTTTAAAGAAGAGGCTAATCACCTTCTCATAAGGTTGCTTCTGAAATATTTGAGAATGATAGTATGACATATGTTTCTTCTAAAGTGTTTACTGCAACCTAAAAAAATCCAGAAATCCCACTCAACAAAGTCTGTAAATATTAACATGAGCTTTGGTATTTGAAGTGGCTATAATACTACAAATATTCTGCAAGCTACTTAGAATGCTTTGTTATTTTTCATTACACTTTTTTTTTTTTTTTTTTGGTCTTTTTGAGACAGGGTCTCCCTGTAGTTTCAGCTGGCTTGGAACTCACTATGCAGACCACGGTGACCTTGAACTCACAGAGATCCACCCGCTTTTGCCTCCTCAGTGCTGGAACTAAAGGTGTGCATTATACTTTTAGAAGGACTGTACTTGAGATGGAGGGAGCAGTTATATTACAGTGCTGGCTAGCTTCTGATTTCCTCTCAAAATCTCTTAAGTTTTTGTTATACAAAGTATTGATAATATAAATTTTGGAATTTTAACTCTAAGGGCAAGATTATCAATTCCTGTGAAATAATCTCTTATCTTCTTGTTCTGAATAGAGATTAAATATTTCTGAAATCTTGATTTATCATCCAAAATACTAGCTCCATTTTTAAATAGCTCACAAAGTTCTTAAACATATATGAAGCACTGTGCACAGGCTTAAAAGACAAAGACCTCTGTTTTCACGTGAACATGAGCAGATCAATCTTACTACTTTCACCTTGTTTCTCTAACTAGAAACTTATCAAATAACTTATAAACCTGCAGCTAAGGCAGTTATTTATTTCAGAAACATTGTTAGTTTGTCATGACATAACATTAGCTTTTAATGAGCCACAAAGCAAATATTCCAGGAATTTTTAATGAAGTATCAGCAAGGCCACTGGATATTAAGATACCTAATGCTCATTTATTTTCTCTAAGAAACTGATTTATTCATGTAGAAGCCCATTCTACCACTCATTTCTAAAATGGCAATTAAAGATAATTTTTTATGATCATTCTACAAGGTATTTTAATATCTCAGATAAATAACTCTGTACACAACTCACTACTTTCTGTCTCTGAGCTATGGTTTATTTCAATTTGACAGATCATCTTTTTTGTGGGGGGGAAGAGGAAATAAAACCAAATTACAGATTTGATTTGTTTTCTCCTTGGTAAATTGTAGCCCCATAATGTAGATCTACTTGACTGTCAAAAAGAGCACAGAGAGCTGGGTGTGCTGCCGCACACCTTTAATCCCAGCACCCAGGAGGCAGAGGCAGGCGGGTCTCTGTGAGTTCAAGGCCAGCCTGTTCTACATGGTGAGTTCCAGGACAGCTGGGGATACAGGGAGACCCTGTCTCTAAAAGACCAAAAAAGAAAAAAAAAAAAGAGCACAGAGATTCTCTTTGTTCCATTTAGTGTTGTACAAATGTCTAAGTATATTCTGGTCATTTTTGCTTGCCCAGTTAACCTTTTAATTGTAAACCAGTATTCTATTCATTTGATTCATGTTTCAATAATTTTTAATACTTTACTTATTATTTTTATTTTATGTGTATGAGTGTATTACCTGAATGTAAGTGTGCTGTGTTGTGCAATGCCTGAGGAGGTCAGAAGAGGAAAGAGGTCAGAAGAAAGCATCAGATCCCCCGGAACTGGAGTTACGGATAGCTGTTAGCACCATGGGGGTACCAGGAATCGAACACAGGTTCTCTGCAAGAGCAGCCAGTGCTCTTAACCACTGAGCCATCTTTCCAGCCTCAGTTTCAGTAATATAAAACACAAAAACTTAACTGTCTTTATGTTTCCTGGTTTGATGTTCTGATGCTGCACCAGGTACTAACACAAGTAACTAACTTTCTTTCCAAACAAATAGCACTGTCCTGGTAACTCATTTCATTTTAATTTTTTATTTTATTTATTTATTTATTTATTTATTTATTTATTTATTCTTTTTGAGACAGGGTCTCCTGTAGTCCCAGCTGACCTCACAGAGATCTGTCTGCCTCTGCCTCCCAAGTGCTGGGACTACAGGCATGCACCACCATGCCTGGCATTCATTTTAATTTTTAATAATTCGGTTTTTATGTCTTCTTTTTACTGAATCTCATATAAAGGCAGAAAAAAATTAGCTTTAGTATTATTTTAGCAGTCATTTTTCTTAACTATCCTCACTAACAGTAAAAAAAATGCATTTATGGTTCTTTCATTACCCTTTTTTCTTTTAGTCTTTGAACTTTTGAATCCAGATGATGATGCTGTTTCATAATTTTGCTGAGTAAAAGTAATGTTCACTTCATAGCCCTTCTGTTTCCCTTCCTGACCGGCTTAGAATTCTAGTTTTAACACAATCTTCTCTACCTTACTCCTTTATAATCCAGTTCCAACTTGAGAACAGAAACAAGAAAAAAACAGCTTTTCAAAGATATACAGTTGCTTTTCTATTTAATCTTCATAATCTTAATGAAGACCACCTGAATCTGAATTTGGCAATGAGAAATTATCTATAAATATATAAAGGCACCCAAAGCTACATAGTCAGTAGCTGTTCAGAACTCTAGGTTAATGTATTTTGTAATTTTTTAAATTAAAATTTTTTTATTTTATTTTATGTGTATGAGTGTATTGCCTGCATGTAAGTAAGTGCACCCGTGTCTTGCAATGCCCGTGGAAGACAGAGGAGGCCATTGGATCCCCTGGGACTGGAGTTACAGACAGTTGTTAGCTGCCATGTGGGTGCTGGGATTCGAACCCAGGTCTTCTGCAAGAACAGTCAGTGTTCTTAACCGCTGAGCCATCTCTCCAGCCTTTTTAATATACATTTTTAATGCATTTATTTTATGTGTGAGTGTTTTGCCTGCCCATGTGTAAGTGTACCCATGTTGTGTAGTGCCTGCAAAGGACAGAAGGCGGCATCGGATCCCATGGAACTGGAGTTATGGATGGCTGTTAGCTGCATGTGGGTGCTAGGATTTGAATCCAGGTCTTCTGAAAGAGCAGTCAGTGCTCTCAACCACTGAACCATCTCTCTAGTCCCTATTTTATAATTTTTTTAAGAAAAACATTTCCCCCCACTTGACAAGTTCTCTCCTGTTGAAAAAATGTAAGCATATATCTTAATCTAAGCTATTATTTCACAAACTATAAACTGCCACATTATGAAAGCTTTAAATGTGATGATTATACATATTCTAAATGCTGGCTAATGGTTAGGTATATAATGAAAAAAACTAGCTGACTGATGTGAGGATTACCTCCTATGAAATGCATTCTAAAATTTGCAAAGCAGATAATGTACATTGCTTATTTTCTATGACGTAGAACATAGTATACAGGAAAATATTACCTACATCTAACAACACTATAGACAAAAGAAAGGAGTCTTTTGGCCACAGTGATAACAGTATTATGGAACATAAAATGGAGTAATTTAAGATTCTGTTTAAAGTAGAAAGCAAAATTACTGAAAAGAAGGGCACCAAAGTTGTGCTTTTGAAAATGTGGTTTAAAGGGAAGGGGTGGGGGATGAGAAAGGCACTGCCAGGCTCCTTACCCATTGATGGCGGTGCTGGAGCTTCCTGATGGTATGTTCAGCCTGCTCCAGCTTAGCACTGGCCTCATCACTCTGCTGTTTGATGGTGGCCAGCTCCCGTTTTATGAGGTAGTTTTCCTCAGCCTCCTGGGCTCTTGTCACTTGTCCCTTAGGACATAATTTTTTTGTGTGTATAAAGCAATTTAGGATAGGTTCAAGAAAGACTGCCTTTATGAGGTTTAGTTATGTTTTTTGACATGTTAAAAAAAAATCACCTCAGAGAAGAGAACAGCCTAGGTAATTATTAGCTAGCAGCTTGTTATTGCTCCAGCAAATCTGAGGAAACTAAATGAAAAATTCCCCTGACAATCTTCTCTTAGTCAATAAAAATGCAGTTCATGCAATATTACTGAGTTGTACATGCAGGACTAAAATTTTCAATGAATAGTGGTTAATTTCAAAGAATCCATTGATTGCCATTTTGAAATAAATACTTTAAAAAATAAGGTTAGCATTAAAACGTGCAAAGATAGGTATCTATTAAATGATAACATATTTATTAAAAATTAAGTTTATACCCATATATAAGCCCAAAAATTATTTTTAGAAAAATGCATGTAAAATTGCATGCATTAAAATATGGATTTCTAGGTTTAAGACTTTCCTTAGAAGTTAGTGCAAACACTAAAAATAAAAACAAAAAAACTATACCTGTATCAATCTATCTGCCAAGGAAGCACTTTCCTACAAAAGGAAAAATTTGGGTAGAAATATAAGAGAGAGGAAATCAAAGTGATAAAATTAGGAAAGAGAAGAAATATCCATACCCAAATTCCATCTACATTTCATTGCTAATTTAAATGGACATTTAAATTTTAAAGCTATTTTTTGACTGAATGTGTTTTATATTTAAATCTTAAGAAACAAACATCAAAATAAGGACAGAGTACAGAAAATAATGAGACTCTAAAAAAGACCAAATACAGATCCTAAGTGGTTTCAATTGCTTAGGATAAGAAAACATTTTTTATTAAAACTATGCTTTTAAATCTTTGTTCTATAGGCTTAATCATATTATCAAACCATTTATATGAAAAGGAGAGGTAATCTGAGTCAGCAAAATTCCACTTAGAAAATGTGCCGGCAATTAACAGTAGCATCCAAAGAAACAAAGCAGGAAACAGGACAACTGAAACCAATGAGTTCAACTTAAAAACTCTAAAAACCACCCAGTAAAAGTATACTTTTTTGGTTATAGAATTCAATTGATACCTATGTACTGACAGAATCCTACGTGCTAAATCAAAAGTCTAGGACACCAAAAAAAGGGTACTTAACTTTCTTAATTTGAAGCAGAATTCAAAGTATAAGTTTCTACACCTTCTTTATCATTCTGAAGGGTCAATGAAATACCACTTTCTCTGTGGAAATGTCAAACTCCAAAGACAAAAATCATCTAAGAGGTTATATATTTTACTGTGAACTGGGCATATAGGAGAAGCATGGGTGATAAAATTAAAATGACTTAAGAATAGTTAAACTCAACTTCATATGGAATCACCAGATGTAGAATTATCTTCAAAGTCATTCTAATACAATCTTACAATCTTGCAAGAGGAATTATATCTGACTTGGCATAAAGTAGCTGCAATCATTATATAACCAAAAGATCTATAATAAATATTTTGTCCTGTGTACTGCTACTTAACATAAAAATCACAAATATATCTAAAATAAAAGGCAAACATTACAAGCTAGACCCCTTTCCAGTTATTTCTTTCCTGGTTATTTATTTATGAACTTTCACGGAAGATTTAAATTTTTTTTTAATTAAAAAAATTTTTTTTATTATTACTTTTTTTTATGTGTATGAGTGTATTGCCTGCATGTATACTAGTGCACTTGTGTCGTGCAATGCTGCATGTATACTAGTGCACTTGTGTCATGCAATGCTGCATGTATACTAGTGCACTTGTGTCATGCAATGCTGTGGAGGTCAGAAGAGGGTTTTGGATTCCCCTGGAACTGGAGTTAAGGACGGTTCATAGCCACCATATGGATGCTGGGAATCAAATCTGGGTCCTCTGTAAGAGCAGTCAGTGCTCTTAACCGCTGGGCCAACTCTCCAGCCCAAAATTTTTTTTTAATTTATTTATCATTTTTATTTTATGTGTATGTGTGTATTGCCTGCATGTAGGTAAATGCACCCATGTTGTGCAATGCCCGTAGAGGACAGAAGAGGCTGTTGGATCCCCTGGAACTGGAGTTATGGGCAGCCGTTAGCTGCCATGTGGGTGCTGGGATTAGAACTTGGGTCTTCTTCAAGAACAACCAGTGTTCTTAATCGCTGAACCATCTCTCCAGTCCCGATGAATTTTCACAGATGACTTTAAACATACTTGGTCATACTTGGTCTTGAGGGTCAGATTTATACCTACTTACTCTCGACTTCTAGCTTAAAAAAAAAAAAAACAAAAAAAAAAAAAACAAAAAAAAAAAAAACAAAAAAAAAACCCTTATGAATCCAGCTGTTTTCGATTCAGGAAAATTCTCGAGTTGGGTTTTCTTGTTGTTGTTTATTTATTTACTTATTTTTTAATTTTTTGGTCTTTTTGAGACAGGGTCTCCCTGTAGCCCCAGCTGGCCTAGAACTCCCTATGTAGACTCATAGAGATCCACCTGGCTCTGCCTCCCAAGTGCTGGGATCAAAGGCATGCGCCACCATGCCAGGCACTGTTGTTTAAGACAGGGTCTCACACAGCCCAAGCAGGCCTCAAATTCACAATATAGTGGAGGATGATCTTCAACTCCTGATCTTCCTGCTTCAATCTCCCAAGTGTTGGGATTAGAGGTGTGCACCACCATGTCTGGTTTATGCAGTGCTGGGGATCAAATCCAGGGCTTTTTGCATGCTAAGCACTCTACCAACTGAGCTATAGCTCTAGCCCAAAAAAATTCTTAAACTGCTATTACTCAATTCATTCTTAGCATCAGAAACACAACTACAAAAGATATATCAAAGCACAATAGAAAAAATAATGAAAATTTCCAAGCTTGCCAGTTATTTTATATGAAACAGGAAAAGAAAAGGTAACAAGGGGATATCAAGATAGTTCTGACAACCAAAAACTTACAGAACTACCTAGTCTTGAAAATCAACATGAAAATGAATATTTTTGAGGAACCAGTAACTTTGAATTTAAAGCAATCCTAGACTTTAAAAGAGCCATTGCCATATTCAACTTGTGGCTGAAAATAGATGGAAAATTAGAAACCCATCTTTAAAATGTCCTGTCAGAATGGATGCCCAACTGGATTCTACAAGAACATACTTCTTGAGGTTATATGGAAAGAAAACAAATGACATCAGTATGTTACTCTAATAATAACTTCAGTTAAACAGTATTATAAAAGTATGTGTATTATCACCAATTTTATTTAATAACTACTTAAGCACAGTAGGCTTGGCAAGCTAAGCAGTCCATATCACAACTCAGGAGACAGTACCAGACATTTGAGAATTTTAAATATATTAAAAAATAACAAGCATTCAACAGAAACTTGCAATAGTCATTTACTTACTTTTTCTAATGTTTCAATGCGCTGTTTTAAAAGCCTATTTTCTGTGCGTAACCTCTGGCAAGAAAAAAAAAAAGTTTTGTTAGCATTCTTGAGAGAAAAAAAGATTCATAAGTCAAAATTGTTGCTAATGTGCCACCTTCCATAAGTAAGAAATGGCTTTAAGGAATTATCCATTATTTATTATATGTTGAACTGTTAAAGGTTTAGAGTAAAAAAATACATGGCAAAGGAAACAATCTGTCTTTCCAGCTGCCACTGGATGTTAAACATAAGGTATGATTCATTAACAGCTCTTGTTTTCCCCTTATCATGGCTTATAATATTCTTAGCTACTTTAACATCCCCTGTCTCCCCAGAGCCTACCAACTAAATTGGTACTTAAATATTAGTTGAACAAATAATAAACATCAAAAATGCATGTTCAGAGAGTAAATGTCAAATTATTTATTATTTAGATTATACCAGTTTCCATTTATATTACAGATAAAAGAGTACAAAAATTCTTAACACTCTAAAAAATTTAAAGCATTTATCATGAGTTGTTTCCTACTTAAGAAAACTAAAAGAGCTAACTGTTAACATTTTCTTAAAAAGTATAAAAAGTAAAATCAGGGGTTGAAGAGAAGCTCAACAGCTAAGAGTACTTACTGCTCTTGCAGAGGACCTGAGTTTAGTTCCCAGCACCCATATTGGGCAACTCACAACCACCTCTGACTCCAGGTCCTCTGGTTTCCATGGAGCCCTGCACTCACATGAACATACACATAATTTAAGAGATAAATCTTTTTTTAAAAATTGGTAAGACTAGATTTTCTTAAAAACAACAACAAACTGCAGGGCATGGTAGTATACTCCTTTAATTCCTGAGGAGACAGAGGCAGGTGGATCTCTGTGAGATCCAGGTCAACATGGTCGAGTTCTGGGCCAACTGTGGTTACAGAGAGAAGCTGTCTCAAAAAAAAGAAAAGAAAAGAAAAGAAAAGAAAAGAAAAGAAAAGAAACTGGAGAGATGGCTCAACATTAAGAGCACTGGCTGTTCTTGAAGAAGACCTAGGTTTGAATCCTAGCACCCACCCACATGGTGGCTAACAACTGTCCATAACTCCAGTTCCAGGGGACTGGGCGCCCTCTTCTGTCCTCTGTGGGCACTGCACGACAGGAGTACACTAACACACAGGTCAGCGATACACTCACACAGATAAAATTAAAAAATTAATTTAAAAATTTTAAAGTAAAAGAAAAAAATACTATTTTTAAATAAGTCAATGTATAAACATTTGTGTGATATCTACACTTCCTGATGAGCTGATAGGTTAATTTAACAGAGTAACCATTTCAAAGTTAACCTTTAAGTTTCAAATGTTTCTGACTTTTCTTTTAGACTACTGTGGACCATAATTTGGAAATTATAGCCTTGTAATTATTTTTAACAAATGGCAAAAGTGAGCCAGTAAGATGGTTCAATGGGTAAGGTGCCTCCTTCCAGGCCTGGGACTTAATTTTACCCCTGGACCCACAGAGTGGAAGGAGAGAACTGACTCCCACAGGTTGTCCTCTGACCTCCACATATGCACTGTGACACACAAACCCACAAACATGTACAGACACAAATACACATACACAAAATAAATATTTAAAAATCTAGTAATTTCTTCAATTCTTATTTTGTTCATCCTTCCAATGCCCCACATACTTATATGTTAAAGTAGTTAAGAAAATGAATTTAGAAGTTGGGTAGATTTGTGGGTTTCATCCCACACTTAGTACCATAGATGTCATTCAATGCCTTTCAATTTCTATTTCCCTAATCAAGGGAAACTTACAAGGATATTGGAAAACTTACAAAACTTACAAGGATATTGGAAAAACTAATTGAGATAACATAGCATCAGACATGTACCAAACACTAGGTTCCTGTAAGCATTGTTCACAATATTTTCAGTTAGACATGAGTATTTTACCACTTTTTTTCTATTTTTTTTCCCATGTTTTGTTATTGGTTTTCATTGCTCTGGACTTTTATAAGGAACTAAATGAATCTGTTATTTTGTTAGGAAAATTCCATCTTTATATAGCATGAAGTTATTTTTCTTCTCTATCAAAAAAAAAGCACTATTTTAACACAATCCCTTGGGAAGAGGTCTATAGAACAGGAAAGGGCTATAAGAAGTAGCAGTTCTCATTTGTTACAAGGCACAGAAATCAGACAATATCCAAAGTTGTTTTTTTTTCAAGTGCACCATCCAAAGGGACGAAAATAGGATGGGAGTGAGGCAGGCTTGGTGATATGGACCAGCTACTCAGGAAACTTGAAGCAAGGGAACTACAAGTTCAAGGTCTACCTGGGCTAGAATAAATTCAAGGCCAGCTTAAACAACTTAGAAATCATTTGCCTCAAAATAAAAAACAAAACAAAGGCTGAGGCTATAACTCAGTGATAAGGTAGTTGGAGGTTCTAGGCACCAGAAAGGAGGGAGGGAGGGGAGAGAAAGGAAGGATTCTAACTTCAAAAAAGGAACAAATTGGAACTGGGGAGATGGCTCAGTGGGTAGAAGCACTTGCTATGCAAGCATGAGGACCTGAGTTTGAATCCCCAGCACCCATGTACAAAGCCCAGTATGTGTGTATGCCTGTACCCCAGTATTGAAGGGCAAAGAAGAGATGGACTTTAAGAGCTCATTAGCCTGCCTAGCTGAAATAGTAAACTTCCTGCTCAGAGAGATCCTGTCTGAGGAAAATGAGGCTAAGAGTGACAGAGGAAGATCTCTGACATCCTCCTGTGGCCCACACACTATACTGAGGTGCACTAAGTAAATAATTAATTTTAAAGGAACAAACCACCTTGAATATTTTATTTACCTTATATGTTCCACTAACTTTTTAACTCAGATGGTTCTCAAAAATCAGTTATGTACCATCTGCCTGGTATATAAACTACAACTTCCCCAAGAAACAAAGATTTCCTCTAACTATGAAAATCTAGAGCTAAAGTCAGCTAAGGATCTTTTTTTCTGAGAATGCATTTTGATTCTAAATTTACATGACTTAATTTTGTAAGAAATTTCTTCAAGAGCAAGAATTCCTCATAGAACTGTGTTGTTTTTGTTTTTGTTTTTAATAACATAGCATGGTGAAATTCAAAATGGCTTCCCCATCCTCAGTGCCTTGATTTGCAATTCTGAATATTCAAAATACATGATAGCCCACACTCTATCCCGATTCATCAGGATGAAGTATTTTCTACTTTTAGTAGATTCAAGTGTATGGGAGGATGTAACATTACCCTTATTCATGGTACTTAAAAGAAAACCAAATAGTAGAGTAGCAGTTTGGTGACAATAAAAGGTGGGGGAGGAGAGCCACAGGGATCTTTTCTCTATGAAAAACATATGGACTTCTAATTGATAAGGACTAGGTGACAGAAATGTGAATTAAGCATCTAGAATTGGGAGGACTATTGATAAAAGAGGGATCACATGAAAAAGAGGAAAGATGATCTCTCAGGAGTCTTTTGAGGACAGCTAAGGCAAAGTGAGCACTAGTTCAATAGAACCTATTCTACTGGGCAGAATTATAGCTAGGCTCAATACATAGCAAATCAATGGTCAAGAGCTGATGTTTTACAGTCCAAGTCAAAATCAGACATACCCATACAGATTCGGAAGGGGTAAAGAAGATACTCAATAAAAGTTGATTTATGGGAGGCTGGAGAGACAGCTCAGTAGTTAAGAGCACTTACTGCTCTTATGGATGACCTGAGTTTGGTTCCAACACCCACATGGTGCCTCACAACTGTAATTCCAGTTCCAAGGGATCCAGGTCCTCTTCTTGTCTCTATGGACACCAAGAATGCACACACACACATGCAGGCAAAATACTCATGCTCATAAAACTAAACTTAACTAAATAAATCTTTTTTTTTAACAACAACAAAAAAAGGATAAGTTATTTTATGGATCAGAGACATGGCTAAGCAGGCCAAGTCAGACAACCCAAGTTCAAGTCCCAGGATTCATGAAACCACATGAGAGAACTGACTCCCAGAAGTCGTCTTCTAACATCCTCTCACACATGCTGTGCCCCCGCCCCTGTCAATAAACAGATTTAATTTTTAAATGTTTTAAGTTGGAGACTTTGGGGGAGTGGTTAAGATTAGAGACTAGATCAGCCAATCACAGTGCATAATTCATTACTCCCAACCTACAGCATCAGAAGAAAAGCAAACAAACCTCCAAAATATCAACTGTGGGAGTACCAAAGGCTCTTAAGAATTCTTTAGCTTGAATCAGTAAGATGGTAAAATGGGTAAAGGCACTTTCTGCCAAACCTGATGACCTGAGGTCAATTCCTAGAACCCAAACGATGGAAGGAAGAGAACTGACTCACAAAAGTTGTCCTGTAACCTACACACACACACACACACACACACACACACACACACACATATACACACACACACACAGTGACACAAAAATAAACAATCTAATCTTAAAAAAAATCTTTTTTTAAAGAAGTCAGCTGGGCATGGGGGCACATAGCTTTAATCCCAGCATTCAGGAGGCAGAGGCAGGTAGATCTAATGCTAATTAGTAGAGGTGATAAACAATACCATTGAAATCTGCCCAATGACTTTATAGACATACACAGGTGCCAAGGATCCAAGTGTATCTGATTACAACTAGTAATAATCAGACACACACAGATTAGAGATGCAAGCACCAACATCTCAGTGTTAGCAGCAAAAACAATGAGTCTGTCTGCAAGGAACAATATATTCTAAAATGAAATGGAGGTCTTTTTTAAAGGTTAAAAACTCATCCAATTTTATGTCTTACAGGGCTTATACTGAGTTCAATAATATATAACTATATTAATTCAACTGTGAATCTAGAAACTTGCACTCACTTGTGAAAGAGATGTATGTTGCTCTGGAGTGTGTTACTGAATATGTTAAAGCTGGAGTGAAAAGCTTCTAATCATGTAGTTATTAATTTTAAAAAGTATAATGATTTAAAAAATTATAATTCCTCAAAGCATAAAAATTTGCTCCTTAATAATTAGTAGAGGTGAAAAACATTATCATTGAAATCTACCTGATGACTTTATATCCATGCTCAGATGCCAAGGAGCTCAGAAAGTAACCAACTGTGACTAGTAATAATCTGGTATATAGAGATTAGAAATGCATGTGCAAACATGTTAATGTCAATTGTATTAAAAATGAAGTTTTCTGCATGAAAATCTGTAATTTAATAATGAAATGGAGATCTTTTTTAAAGGTTAAAACCTCATTTAATTTTATGTCTTATAGGGTTTATACTGAGCATAAAATTGTATAACTGTAATAATTCAGCTGTAAACCTAAAAATGTACAGGCATTTTTGTAAGAGATGCAGCCTAGCTCAAAAAATTGTTATTGAATATGTCAATGCTGATGTAATGAAATGCTTCTTCTAAGTATGTGGTTATTAAATAAATAATTTAAAA